AAAGGATATTTGCCCAATTACTGGAAAACATGTTTTGCAGAACTTTTATTACGAGTTTTACAAGTTTTGCGAGTAGCGTTAAGCGCTTAATAATTAAAAAAAAATCCGAGAAAATTTCAAGAATTTTTTAAATTTTTTTGAGTTGATTATTTTTTTGTATCATTGCAACATTGACAAACTTTTTTATTTTATTTTCTTATGATATTATAATTACTGTTTCAATAATAAAAAAAAAGCAATAACTCGATTTTTTTAGCTTTTGATTTTGTGTTTTTAAAGAAGAGTTTAAAACTTTTAAAATGTGTATTTTTATGGTCACAAAAACTGAAAAAACTTTAAATGTCCACTTTTCACCCCTTTTTAATTTCTATAACATCATTATGAATGTATTAGGCACAAAACAAATAATTTTTTAGCTGCTCGAACTTGCTCATATTTTCAATACTTCACTTCAATAAAATGTCAATTATTTTAGAAGACACTAGTTGAGCTGGGGAGGAAGGGGGAGAGAAGGGAAAGAAAATTGAAAGATACAAAACTTCATATTAGCATTTTTTTTGACTTGAAATATTTGAATTTTAAGAAAATATATAAAACCTATATTATATATATATATATATATATATATATATATATATATATATATATATATATATATATATATATATATATATATATATACATATATATATATATATATATATTATATTATAATATATATATATATATATTATATTATATATTATATATATATATATATATATATATATATATATATATATATATATATATATATATATATATATATATATATATATATATATATATACAACTAACAAAGCTAAAAAAACATTTAATAAATCATTCTTCAAGCAACAATTTTAAAACTTTGGAATATAAGTTAACAGCACCAATGGATTTAGTAACTTTGAAGCCGATTGATGACACTATTGGATCACTTCGCAACAGCAGATAATGATATTAGTTTTCGATTGCATTTTTTCTCGAAATTTTACATGTATGGTTTAGTCTTGCATTTCGAATGTATTTATTTTGTGCTTCCTGAGCCTCTTCTGAATATACACCGATTGGGAGTTCAAAGCAATCAGTAATTTGATAACCATGCTCTAATAGCTTGTGTACAGTAGGTGGCATTATGTACCAGTTATATTTTTCAAGTATCATTTCAGAAGTAGCTAAACAATATTTTTTGAAAGCCTCTAAATCAAGGTGGTACCCACTGCACACAGCTTTCATTATATTTCTTAATCTAACAATAATATTAAAATCAACTCCTGTAATATCTGCAAAAGTATCAAATGCTCTTCTGGCTGTGTTACCTGTATTTGAAGAACCATAGCCATGCTTTGGCATATCAACAACAAGACTGAGCTGACTTCTAAACCGATTCTGAATTTCATTTTTTTGCTCAACAACAGAAAGCTTATGCTCTTCTGATATTGCCTGATATTTTTTAATTTTTATTTTATATCCTAAGTGTAGAACATATCAAACAGTTTAACCCAACAATGTAATGTAGATATTCCCATTTTAAGAGACTTTTCATCAGGAGTAAACATTCTGATTTTTACTAGATTGTTCATATCGCTTGGCTTTGCAAAACAAACATTGCACGATTGCGATGAATTCAAAGCCATGACAGCATTTACCGATTTTCCATCAAGCATAGTTAAGTCAACAACAATTTTAATTTTTATGGAACCATGCTTTTCATTACTAAAGAGATGTAGATCTAAAATATAGTCCTCGAGATTTTTAATTTGTTTTCTAAGACTTATTTCTTCTTCTGCAATGAGTTTAGTTGTTTCCTTTTGGTATTGTATTTGAAGAGATCTACAGAAATGAGGGCAAGATGGTTTTGGATTATTCCAGATGTTTGTATCCCCAATTCTTAAATTCAAAGGAACTATTGCAGTTTGAAATACTGATTGTTCATTTTGCATTCCAATAGTAAGATCAGTATCATCAAATCTTTGATTATAAATACTTTGTGAAGATGCCCCATCCATGCCACATTTCAAATTAAATACTCCACTAGTCACAGTTTCATCTAAATTCTGAAGCTGCTCAGACTTTAGTTTCAAAATTTGGAACAAAGTATGGTTAACCATGCTCTGTAAACTACACTTTGCAGATGTTTCTGTAATATGCAAACCCTCTGGGTAACAATCTACTTTTGATTTTAGGATTGTTTTTAACGGGGGATAAATGTCAGCATTTTGCATCAGAGATAAGTTTCGAATAATCTGATATTGCAAATCACTCAAATCACAATGAATTTTAAGTGATAAAGCTTGTTCTGCAGACATCATAGTTGGCTGATGTTTATCTTTTTTTTTTGTTTTGCTTGTTTGAACTTGAGAAAACATTCCCAAATCCAATTTTTCAGGACTTGATTTAGCACTTACAACAGCAGCTTCTGCTAACTCTTTAGTTGAATGGGTTTTAGCCAATCTAAAAAAACATAATCATTATTGATTAAAGTGTTGCCATTATGATAATGCAAATTTTCACAAAGGTTACTTAACTCATTTTTTTAAGTCACTTAAAAAAATGAGTAGACTCAAACTCAACTCATTTTTTTTAAGTCACTTAAACAGCTTTCCTTAGTATCATTTCTTAACTAAAATGATGCTATGGAAAATGTGAAGCAAACTTTTACAAATAAATATCCTTCTAGGGATCTTATATAAGAACTTTCTTTTTCCTATTTGATTTGTTTTCACCATGGCTAAAGAGCCTTACCTGCCTTACTTTGATTTTTATTATTTTATATATATATATATATATATATATATATATATATATATATATATATATATATATATATATATATATATTTATAACAATTTAACTTGTTTTTAAAGTCACATGTTTTTTAAAAGAAACACAATAATTACTTTTAAAAATTAAGTTAAAACTACCTTAAACTTTCCTACTTTTTGTTCTTAATGAACACTCTGCCCATTTTTTTTCTGGTCTACCGGCTTTTAAAGCTAAATCAAGTTCAGCTTTTTTATTCTGAAACAACTCACCCTCTAACCAGGGTAGCTCTTGTTTAGTTAGTCTTGCAAAATTACGATTATGCTTTGTATTCTTTACTCAGAGGCGTACTGAGGGGTGTTCAGCCCAGTAGGAAATCACGGTCACCGGCCCAAATAGAGGTGGCCTGAAGGGTGATTAGCCCCCCAAAAAATAAACACCCCCTCCCCCCAAAAAAAATCATAAATAAATATAATTAATTGTTATAAGGTACCTATAAATAGCATGTACAATTTAATTTAATTAGGTTAAATACGTACTCTGGTATGTTTTTTTTTTTTATTTTTTTTTTTATTTTAATTCACCTCCTCAAGGCCAAGAAGGCCACTACAGACGAGGAGGCTACTTATTTTGTGGCTATAACCCTCTCTCAACTCTATAACTCCGAAACACGAACCTTGACGAACAAGGCCGCTGCGCGGAGAAACGAGTTGAGTTATGTTACATACTGATACTATGGGTCTAGTTTCAACATTAAAAAACATGATAATCAACAATTAGACTCAAAACAATTTTTTTCATATAATATAATTCATAGATAGAGATAGGTGGCAAAGTTTAGTAATGTCAGCAAAATCTCTTAGAGAGTAGTCATGCCAGAGAATGAAGAAGAAGAATCATAATCCATACAAATTATTGCATTATTATTTATTATAGTTAAGAAAATACTTAAATTATATAAAACAAAACTTAAATGACAATTTTATATTGAAAACATTTTAGTCATTACTGTAGAACTAGCTTTTAAATATTCAATGACATTTGAAATTTCAATTTCATTGAGTAATTGTTTGTCAAACTCATAATTAAGAGTGCTTCTAAATTATCTTGACTTATATTGGCTCTGAGTCTTGTTTTAACAAGCTTAAGTTTGCTGAATGTCCTTTCGCAGTTGACTTCGGTGACTGACAAAGTAAGAAAAAACTCATATGAAGCACATAGTTGAGTATAAGCCGAGACATGCATGTTTAAATTGTATACAAGTTTGTATACACATTGTAAACAATTGTTAGTATCGTATATGCTGTTTTTGTTGTTACCTAAAATCCAACATAAAGTTCAGTCAAAATAATATTTTAAATTATATATAGAACAATATATAAGCACAATTTTACTCACAAGAAAATGCTGCATCATAATTCATATTTTCTTCATCATTATCTGTGTTTTCATCTGAATCAGTATCAAATTGACGGTATATTTGTTTAGTTCTTTCTGTTGTAGACATTTTTAACTTGGGATACATTTTAGAAAAATTATTTAGTTCTAAGCAAAGTTGTATGTGATCTAAATTTGCTAAATTGGCCAAGTGTTTTAAAGCTGTGTTTGGCATTTGTTCAATTTGTTTAAAATTTTTAGGTATCAAGTATTGAACATCCGCTATCAATTGATTGTTGTCGGTGAAGCGTTCATTTAAACTATTATTAATGTGATCAACTATTGATTGATAAGTTTCAACTCTGAACTTGTCTAATGGTAACTCTGGTGTTTGGTCTGCACATAGCTCATCATACATTCTTTTTTTTCTGCTTTGCCTAGTAATAGGTAAAGTACTTGGTACTAATAAATCATCCGGAAGATTCATACTATTAAGTAAGTCATTCATATTGTTGGAAAAATGTACAGAATTTTCTAAAATATTGGTTAAATGTCTAATTTCTTGTTTAACAGAATCTACCATACTCCAAGCTGATAATAAATCCATACCTCTTGTCTGATAACGTGACGTTGGCCCAATAATTTTAAAGATATTCAAAAATATATGAGCTGTGAGAATTATTTTAAAATTACATAAATTATCTAATAAAGAAGATGCTTCTGAACAAACTTTAGGTTCAAAATTTCTAGAAATAGAAATATGATGCAAAGCACTTACAACTGTAGGAAAAAAGACATTTATCACCATCAAAAATCCAAAACAGTGCTTTTTCTCGCGACTACCATCGCGTATTGTTTTCTCCTATTTTTTGAAGTTTTTTCAATTTATTAGACCCCAAACTTGAATCAATTTCACTTAACCATATGTGCATACGTTTATAAGAATCACTAAAAAATGTTGATAATCGATTCAAAAATCCAAACAGTTTTTTAGCTTCTACGCCTTTACAAGTATCACATACACATAAGTTAAGCACATGACTATAGCACCATATATAAACACTTTTTTGATTTTCTTGACTTTTAATTTTAGATTGTAGTCCTGAATACTCCCCTCTCATATTAGCTGCTCCATCAAATGATTCACCAATAATATGATTAAAATTAATGGAATGTTCAGAAAAAAGTTTTTTTAACATATCATAGTAGCCATTTCCTGATGAATCAACAACTTTTAATAAAGCAAATAACCTTTCTTTTACTTCTCCTTCATAAATGTACCGGATGCATACTGCTGCCTGATCTACAACACCAATATCTTGTGTACTATCAATCTGTAAACTAAAATTTTGTTCACCTAATTCTAATTTAATTCTATCTCTTATCGATTTCACGATAGATAAAATAACTTTATTCACAGTAGTTTTAGACAATAAAGTTACAAGTGAACCCCTGCCACAAGAAATAAATTATTTTTTTTCCAAATTGTCTTTTCTGCGTTTGCTGTTTTTTATAGCCGCATTCAAATGTTTGTATAATGTAGCATCCCGTTTGGCTGTAAATTTAACCAACTCCAAAAAATTGCCTTTGTTTAAATTGTCTTCATCATTCCACTTATACAGACTTTCAGAGTTTTTAGGACCTCTAAATGGTAAATTTTGACGACCAAGAAATTTAACTATTTCAAAAACTTCACTTATAACATGGATATTATCTTGTATTTGACTTTTTTTTAATGCCATTAAATTGTTATTAATACCAAATTCAACAGACTTATCATTTGACGATTGAATATAGGCTTCTACTGAATGCCTGTGTGTTAACGATTCTTCATGTATTTTAACAACTTCATGGATATGTTTAAAATTATTACAGCCATTAGGAAATGTAGTAGGAGATGAACTGAATGCAATACAAAACGGACAGTATAAAGCTTTGAGTTTATTATCAATACAGAGGACTGATAACCACTTTCGTGAAATTTTTTTGCCATCTGATGTTTTTCTAAAATAGAGCTTTTGTAAATCTAGTTGGATATTGCTGAAGAATGATGGCTGGATAGGATGTTTTTTGATGAAGTTTAATTTTTGGAGGATATCAGGATTTTTGTTTAGTTTGAATAATTCATCATTAGATGGCAAATGATACTCTAGAGATTCAGCTTCCTAAAATATAAGTTCAAATTAAATTAATAATAAAAACCTAAAAATCTAAATTAATAATAAAAACCTAAAAATCTAAATTAATAATAAAAACCTAAAAATCTAAATTAATAATAAAAACCTACTTTTAGCAATAAAATGCGTTTAATTTGTTTGTAAGACCAATATAATTAGCAGTTACTAGTTATTTAATATTAAAAACCTTACCAATACATTCTCTGTGGCTGGGCATATCTGATTTATAGAAATGGATGAATTTAAATCAATATCAATATCTCTTGTTAAATCACCTTCATGTAGATGATTCTTATGAACTTTTGCAGTAGAATTACTATCACACTAAAATTTGAACAAATATACTTTTATACATAATTTGTATAATCGATAACATTCTTATAATATTGTATATTAATGGTGTACAAAATAATAATGTAGATAGACACCTTTTTTAATAATATAATATTGAAAATCTTACCAATAAATTCTCTGTAGCTGTGTCTACCTGATTTTTAATAATGGATGAATTTAAAGTAATATCAACGTCACTTGTTAAATCACTTTCATACAGATGATTCTTTTGAATTATAGCAGTAGAATTTATTGCAGTCTGATTTATTGGTTTCTTAAACAAATTTAATAAATTATGACATGATTGGGCAGCAATTTGTAATTTGATTTTTTTTTTTTTTCGCGTTCTTTGGCCGCTCCTCCTTTTTGTTTTTTAGAATTCATATTTATAAATAAAAATGCACAGTATCAATATGAAATGATTCAGGCCGGCGGCTTTAGAAAGCTCAGTACACGGCTGTTTCACTCAATATAAATGCGAGCCTGACGTCACGAGTTTATCAAAAAAAAAAGTATTTCCGCATAAAAAGTATAAAAATTCGTTAAATTTAAAATAACAGTATTTTTTTTCTATAAATGCTTTCATCTTCAAATAAAAAAAATATAAAAGATCTATCTTTCCTTGTTAAATAAACATTTACATTAAAAGGAATAAAAATGAAAGCTGTAAAAATATTGTTAATAATTTGGCATCACTTTTCTGATTTTTGCGATTTTTACGCAAAACCTGTCTTAGGCCAACTAAGATTTGATAACATAGCTACATGGTCGATGGTTGAAATTTAGAACAGTTATTAATGAATGTCTGTTCTATCTAGATTTCCACAGACTTTGCAAGTTTTTATATAGAAAGTTAGTTTTTAATGCATTTATATTTTTGTTTTTATTCGTTTTGAATAAAAAACATAACATTTTTGAAAAGTCTGTGGATTTAGTAATACTTCAACCTTATATGAATAAGAAAATCAAAAAATTATTTTCTGTACCTCTAGCTATGTTATCAAATATGTTTTCAAACTTGGCATGTTTAGCGACATTTTTTTTAGTTTTTTTTGCATAAATTCTTGTTTACATTTTAAAGCGGTGACGCAAACTCTGATCGTTACGTCCCCAACGATTATCGGATGCATTTTAAGAAAACAAACAAAACAAACGAGACACATTTTATAGAATAAATAACAAAGTTTCGCGGATTAATTTCTCTTGGATATTTGACTAATTTCAGATAAGTTGATTAATCCGATTTTATCTAGTGCATCTATTTGTCAATATTATTCTATTTAAGTTGTTTGTATTATAATTTTATTACTATATCAATAAAGATTATAAAGCAAAGTTTCGTGGATTATTTCCTCGTGGATATTCGACTAATCTCAGATAAGTTGCTTAATTCTTTTATTTTTAGTGTATTTATTTGTAAATATTATTTTATTTAATTTCTTTTATTATATTATTATTATAATATCATTATCATTATTTATGTGATGTATGCAACTGAGAGGGAAATTTTGAAACTGTACATCGGTTGGGAAGATGGTTGGGAAAATGAGTATAACTTTAATTTTGTAAAGCGAGTAATTGACACTAGTAAGATTACTAACAATGTGATTTCAATTTTATTAACAGTTTTTCATCCAAAAGCGTTGTTTACTTTTTTAAGTTTTCTTTTGCCAATTGAGTTTAATATGCCTAATATTGATGTGTTAAATAAAATGTGCCGAAAAATAAAACAAAGAAAAAAAGATTCTAAAAAGTATTTTGAAGCTTCAAAAAACAAAGCATTTTTTAAAATGCAACTGTCTCCAGCTCCACAAACAAAAAAACAAAAAAAATCAGCAGATGCAGATAATTTTTATATTTTAAATAGGAATAAGGAACTAAGTAGTCAAGTTGAACAATTAATTTCTAAAGAAAAAAATAATGTGGAGCAAATAGATAATTTAAAAATACAGGTATCAAAGTTGGAAACTGAAGTTATATATTTAAATTCTAAAAACAAGGCTCTCAACGCACATTGTAACTCATTAAGTTCTCAATTAGAGACTATGAGTATTAGGCTAAAACAGGAGGAGCAGTTCCAACTTTAAAAAAAAAAAAAAATAAAAACAGCACACCGTAAATTTGCATCTGCTCGTGCCAAAAATGTAAGATTGCTAAAAAAATTTAAATTTGAAAAAAAAAATGCAAAAATCAGTGATATAAACAAGAACAGTTGCCAAATTTGCAAATATTTTGCTAGCAGTGATAAGGATTTAGTTGTCGTTGATTCTTATTTAGACTATGACAACATTGGTTCCTCTGAATTATTCTGTGGGTTTAAATTAAGTAATCCACAGACTATATCAGTTAAAAAGCCAATAGTTGGTAAGAAATATACTTACATTAAGTTAGGAGATGGTAAATCTTATTCTAAGTTAGGTAGGCATGCTGCAGCTAGACGATCTAAACTTGCTTTTATATTCCTTCGATTATTAGCTTGTTCAGATTTGGAAAGTGATTTGTCTATGTTGTTTTGTGATTCTGTGTCTTGTGAAAAGTCTATGTTTCATTGTGTTGCAAATAAGTTGGGTTTAGTTAGGCAGTTAAGTGTTTCTGATGCTGTAGAGCTGCAGAGCCAATTAAGGATGCCCACGGCTGAATTCCGTAGGCTAAGACGTATTCTGTGTAATCTTGGTGCAAGGATTCTCCCATCTGAGCCCAAGATAAGACAAGAACAAGAAATGCGGACAATGCATGTTAGTAAAGAACATGTTACTGTAAAGTCCATGTTGCTTTATCCATCTGCGAATGAAGCACCTTGTTTAGTACCTGTATTGATGGTCAAGAATTTGATAACTTATATTGAAGAGGTTTTCAATAGTCTGCACGTTCGTGACCACTTCAATTCTGATGTCGGTTTTTGCGAAGAGGTATGGCTCCTTTTTGCTGGGGATAAGGGTGGGAAGTATATGAAATTCCATTTTGAAGTTGTCAATTCTAAATCATCAGGGTCTGTATATGATGTTCATTTATTTTGTATGTATCAGGGTTCAGACTGTCGTGAGAATATTGCCTTAGTTCTCGGGCATTATGCCAACGACATTAAAAGAATTCAGTCGTCAGATTTTAAGCTAAAAGGCAAAATAGTCAGGTTGTTCTTAGGTGGAGATTTTCATTTTATCGATGATGTTCTGGGACACCAGGGTTCAGCTGCTAGCTTTCCTAGTTCTACAGACCTAGTTAAGTTGAATTCTCTAAGAAACCATGCTTCTATGCCTCACACACCTGCTAATTGTAACATCTTAAGGAGGACAATACAATCTCTGGAAAGTGCTTACAATGAGAACTTGTGTGAAGATAGACAAGGTGGAAACCTAAGAGCTCTAGGTAAGTTTCATAATTCAATTATTGCTCCTGTGATTTTCCCCATAATAACTTTAGATAATGTAGTGCCACCTGTTTTGCATATTATGTTAGGAGTTGTGTTAAAACTTTATAAGTTGTTGTTGAAGGAGTGTAAGACTTTGGATTGTCAAGCTGTTTCGTCTTTGTCGCATAATGAGAATGTGAGAACGAATGAATTGTGGGCTGCTAAAAGCTTTGAATGTTCTAAAACAGCAGACTCTTTACGTTTATTAGGAAATCAATTTGTAGACGTTGCAAATCTACAGACTCGTTGGTTAGCTTTTGATAAAAATATTTCTGAATTGGAATGCATATCTCTAAACTCCTCCAATAAAAAAAAAACCTGTAAACAGCAAGAAAAGTGTGCTAGTATCAGGTGTTTAATTACTAAATATGATTGTAACATTGATCGGGTGCAGTGTGGTACGTGCCAAAAATTGTTCCATCAATTTTGTGAAATTATTGGTGGTTCGGAAAAGAATGTATTGTGTGATATAGAGAAGTATGAGTGTTTAGCATGTCAGGGTGAAGATTTAGAATGTCTTGACCTTTATATTTCTGAAAAAATTTCTTTTATACGCGCACAGCGCGAAGTTTTAGACGTTGAGTATATTCGATTGCAGATAGAGTGTGAAGACCTAGAAAAAATATCTATAAGTAGCATGGGGACTCATGAGAGGTCTCTTTATAAGGCCCTTGAAGATATGAAAGTTGAGCGACAAGCTTACCATGGTAATGTATTTGTAGGTAATCATTGTAAAATAGTATTAAGAAACCACTATAAACTTTGTAGTGTTATTGATGATGAAGCAATTAAAAATAGATTTGTACGTGTGTTTAGTGTTTTTAATAACTTGCAACCTATTTTTTTTTCTGATGCCAAAATTTCTGAGCTTCATCAATATATAAATTTATTTGCTATTGAGTTTCATGCTTGCTTTCCAAAAGAAAGTATCACGCGAAAAATGCATGAACTCATTTTCAATGTGCCACTATTTGTAAAATTGCATAAAACTATTGGGTTGCTGAGTGAAGAGGAGGGAGAGTGTTTGCATAATAGCGTAAATAAGGAATTAAGGCAGTTGCATTCAGTTAGAAATCAGGAGCAAAAGCTGCATCTTGTTTTAAAACGCTTTGAATTGCACAGCAAAGCTGATAGGAAGCTTCAAGCCTCTAAGGTGAGAAAGTGTGTTGTGTGTTCAGAGCGTGGCGAAAATTCATTTTATAGACAAGGTCTTTGTCTTGTTTGTGGACATCAAATTTAGTTTAAATGTTTGAAAAGTTAAAAAAAAAATTAAACTTTTTACATCTAAGATAAATTATATAAGATCCTTAATTTACAAATAAAAGAATTCTATTCTGTTTTAATGCCTGTAATGTTTGTTCAAAATAATAATAATTTTTTATTACAATGATTTTATATATTAGGTAGATGCCCATTCTGTTCCTATTTTCAAAAGTTTATTATATCTATGCAATGCCTTTGCTCAGGTTAAAGAATGGAATAAAAGTCTAGCATCAAATGTATAGCTAACTATTTTAATTTGTGATCAGAGCAACTGGTATGTTTGTTGGATATGATTTTGTATGTTTATGTAGTTAAATCAAAAAACGTTTTATCCTTTGTTATGTAATATGTAACATTTTTTATATATATTAGATCTCCGTTCAATTTTTATCATCAAAAGTTAGTTCTACCTTCGCAGGACCTCTGCTCTACATACCTCCTCTCTAGTTAAAGAATGGAATATAAGTCTCATTTATCAAGTTGGTGTAAAAATTTAGCTTGATAAATTAAGAAGTTGTAAACTTTATTATCACAATTGCCAAGTTGACCAAATGTTCTTCTGGTTTTAAATGAATTATGTATGAGTCTAGTATCATCTGGGTGTTCAAAGATAGTTTACTGCTTGAAGAACTTATCAATGGACCAACTAATTATAAAACAGTTTTTAATGAAAATAAAAACGAATTATCAAAAGATTTAAATCAGCTATTTGTGTATATTTAAACACTTTATTTTTTGTGAGAAGAGATTATTGATACAAGTACCATAAAATAATTCTACTACCAAAAGCTAGGTTAATTCAAAACCTTTAACTCAATTTTGGTCATGAATTATTTTATTAGAATTGATGAGTTTTTATTTATTAACTACCTAACACCATATTATTAGAACTTTATTTTGTAATGTAATGATTTTATCAGCGTTCCAAAATAATTTTCTAAATCAAGAACTTCTATATTAAAAAAAGTACTCATTTAACAACTAATCCCCCCTTATAACAACGTTTTTCATAATTTTGCGAAAAATGTGGTTTGCTTTCACAATTCGATTAAGGCTGTTTTAGTTAACCTTAAATAATTAAGTAAGGTTTTTTTGTTTTCATTATTGTCAAACAATAAGTGTATTTGATAATAACTATTAGGAATATATTTTTCTAATTTTTTTTTGATAAAAAGTAACATCAAATTACAAAAATTTAGCCAAATTCAATATATGTCATATTTATTCTAAACTAAAAGAAGTTTTTCTACTAATGCATTAAATGTTATAAGGTAAAACATTTTATTGATGTCTTAATTGTTTTTACAAAACAAAATTACCTCTTATATTTCAAAAGTTATAAAAGTTTTAGTAACACCCCTTTAGTCAATATTTTCAAAAATTAACAAGAAGCCGTTAAGCTCGGTTTGAAACAGCCGTGAGTAATACAGAAATACATTTGAAGTCATTGTGCTGCTAAAACAAACTAATTTTTGTTTGATTTTGAGTTTTTTGCGTTAACCAGGTTTCTCAAATTTTTTAAACTCGATTTTTGGAACATCGGCCCAGTAGGACTATTCCCACTGTCCCACCTGGCCAGTCCGCCTCTGTTTGATGAAGAGCCATTTTCCTTAATATCTCCCTGATTTTTTTTTAAATTTAACTTAATTTCCATAATAATCCTCTGATTTTTTTTACAGATATTGAATTCCTTGACTTTTCCCTGTTTTCCCTGATTTCCCTGATCTGCAGACACCCTGTCAAGTGTTAAAAAATATAGTGTTAGTTTTCTGTCAAAATATATTAGGTTTCTTAATTTCTGTTAAAATTTTACTAAACTGGTGTTGTATTTTTCCTAGGGTTACAAATCGGTTTTAACCGATAACCGCGGTTTTGGTTAAAACCGATATAAATAAAAACCGTCGGTTTTCAAAAACGGTTTTGGCGGTTTTTATTATAGAATGTAATTTATTAAAAAATGGTATAAAAAATCAAATTTGTAAGTAATTAAAATTTTATTTTATTATTTGTATTTTGCTGGAAAGCTTAACATGTTTTTCATTTTCAAAATTGTTTAAGTATTTAAAAAAAAAAAGTTCGAATATTGAATAAAACACGCAAAAATATTCGAATATATAAAGTATTGGAATACTCAAATAAAATTTCCTATTCTTCATATTAAAAAAACGTACGATGTTTTTAATGTTTTTTTTTTTCAACAAAATATTAACGTATAGGTATGTAATAAAAATACAATAATGTTTCTACCAATTATTTAATTTTTTGATAATATATTTGATAAAAATATATTTTGAAAATATATCTTCCAGATAAGATTTGTCATCATTATGGAAATTATAGCCGTGGTTCTGTTATAAAATGCTCCGGTTGATTCAAAACTACTTTGCAGAATCATATTTTGCGTCATGGATTTACTATCATAAACCCTTTGACTGGAGAATAAAACAGCAGCTAAAATCCACCACCGGATAAAAAAATTAAAACCATGGAAAGTTATTTACAAAAAATGAACCTTTGAGAAATTGTAGCTGATCTAGCTGCAGACGGTATTTCGATTAAAACAATAACTAACAACAAATTTATTCGCTCATTGATTCAACAAAGAGGAAATCATCTTCTTAAAAGTCCAACATATGTGATGAATTTAATCTATCAAGATTTTTTCTGATAAAAAGAAAGTGATGAAGCAAGAAATTATCAAAAAAATTAAAATGGGACATAAATTCAGCTTAACGCATGATAAATACACATCTTTGAGGCACAAAAGGTATATTGGTGTCAACCTGCATGAAAGCAAATGTAAGAAAACCTTTAAAACTGGCCTCATTAGAATTTATGGTTCCTGTCCAGCTGAAAATTTTATACACAATATTAAGGATCATTTGAATTCATTTGGTGTTTGTATGGAAAGAGATATAGTAAGTTCTACTCAAGATGGTGCAGCAATTAACAAGAAGCTCTTGCAGTTAACAGACATTGTTGATCAGTTTTGCTTTAATCATGCAATTCATCTTGGTGTATGCGATGCGTTATATAAGAAAAATAAAGACATAAACGTACCAGTTCCCAAGTAAACGGATAGTGATTCAAAGAAGGATGAACATGAAATTTACAATGAATTATAGTGTTGAATTAGTAAAAAATAAGATTAATGTTAATTACCCTGAAATTTTGATGAATGCACGAATAGTAGTGAAAATTCATAAAAATATCATTTCTGTTTGTAATCAAATTTTTCAATAGAAAGTTACTGAGGATTTTGTTAAAGAAATTAAACTGCATCTCAAAGTTCTTTATCGTTAAAATTCACTTTTTTCAATGACTGCGCCTTTGTTAAAAACTAAAAAATTATTATTTTAGATATTTACTGAACTAAATGCTCTTGATGTAATCAATAACCTAGATTTTGAGTTATTAGCTTCATTAGATGCCGCTTTAAAGCCAGCAAAACTAGCAGTAGAATTCCTTAGCAGAGAAGATGCAACGTTATCGACAGCAGATACTGTTTTTGAATACATACTTGCAAAACTGTTTGCTATGAATACAGTTATTGCATCTTTATTGCATTCAAATTTAAAAAAGCGCATCGATGAAAGAATTAACGGAAATGTTTAAGTTCCATTAAAAATACTTTAAATTTTGCTGTTTAGACTTTTTCGGATTTACTTATAATGATGAGGAACCACTACTAGCTGAAGCACCATGTATAATATTGGAAAATGCACCTGTTTTTCTTAAGGATGCATTAAATGCACTTCTTAATAAAGATAGCATCACACGCTTGCCTAAATCTATTAATCAATTTAAATGGTTTAAGCCAGAGTTTTTGTTGTACCAAAATACGGGCAAAAGAACAGAAAATATTGAAAAAGTTTACAATGCGATATTCTCTATAAAAGCCACCTCAACAGATGTCGAACGCATTTTTTTGAGCTGCACTAATTTCTGCACAAAAATCAGATCACGTGATTATCTGATGAATCGCTAAAATATTTAGTTTTCTAAAAAAAATCTTACAATAAAAATAAGTCATTGCAAGTTTTATTTCGAAATATAAACATAATGTTAGAACACTTTGTTCAAATAACTTTTTTAATAAATAATACAAGATAGATTTCTATAAGTTTTATTATTTAACAAGAAAAACCGTAAACCACGGTTAATCGCGTTTTTTTTTTAAATTAAAACCGAAATCGCGGTTTTTTATAAATGTGGTTTTTTCGAAACCCTATATTTTTCCGCTAGTTCCACATCTTTGTAACAAAATAGAGATCTAAAAGATATTCAAAATTAACTGTGGTGAAACTAATTATTTATTCTTTTCATCAAAATATTAGAATGTTTGTGGACAATCCTACAGTTTATCATTCCGTTATTTTTGTTAAAAATAATAGCAATCATATAAGCTCTTATAAACAATGAGATAAGCCAAAATGTATTAGTTTCAGACTTTCTAAAGTTACATATGGGTGAATTCAGAACATCAAATCGATTTTCAAAAATACTTTCTTATCAAATATAGTTTATGTCAGGAAGCCAAGATAAATTTTCATCAATACAATTTTCAAAGAACTTCATGGGCTCTTTTTTTGCAATCATCACGTAAAATGAGAGTAATTTTAATGGAAAACTTCCTTCTAGTGATAGTTTTTGGAATAAATTATTTTTTTAATCTACACCCTACCGGCACATCTAGTTTCTTTTTCGGAAATAAAACCTATATAGGCACGTGTTTTTCACGATCCAGGCGTAAACCAAAAGCACGTGTATATTACGGGCAGTTTTACAAGAGTTTTACACGTGTTATTTGAGGTTTTAAAATGTCGCATGTTTTTATCAGTGGTTTCACATTCCTTACGGAAAGTTATTACAATATAATACTACGTTTCCGTAACGGTGAAACCATTAATACTTTAACTGGTATTTATGGTAAATGGTAATAGTTAATTTCACGGAATAAAAACCATTTTTGATACGTGTTATTCTTCTTGATTTAGAAGGTTTTAAAAACGCAACAGAAACCAAGCGTAACTATTTTCTGAGTTGTGCCGGCTGGGCATTGAGTGAGAGTTTATTAGTCTTTAACTATTCATTTAAAACTCATGTCAGAGTAAAGTTGCTAGATTTTATTATTTGAAAGGAAAAAATTTGCGTCGCCAACAATTATCGAGTTTAGCTTTGACGATAAGTTGAAAATAAAAAAATAGTAAATTGAGGCACATGTACTAAACAAGATTCTTTTTACAAATCATGTGAAGAACTGTCCTTATGAAGATGTACGGTCCTTACTGCTGATAAATAATGGTAATATGTATTAAGTAAGTCCTTACTGCTAGTTTATTGTGATTAAATGTCGCATTAAAGCCTTAAATGCTTGGCGAAAAATTTAAGCTTTTTTTTATTTTAATTTTTGTTTAACAAGTATCATTCTTCATTATTCCAACATATCATCAGAAATTTAAACATCTATTTAAAGTAAAACCAAAGAATTTAATACTATTTGAATATATTTTATTAGTTCGTCAGCCGAGAACCAAAATCCCGTATATCCATTTTTTGAGTTTCCGAGAAAATCAAGTTTTAAAATTTAATTTGTGAAGGCTTACTGCCAGAATGTATGCCTAATTTTTCAAATATTTTAAAAATTTGTATCATTCTTGAGACTAGATTTATTGGACACATACTTTATTGAATGATGAATATTTATTGATAATAAACAAAAAAAAACACAAAATGTGGACGTACAGCCTTTTGGTTCTCGGCTGACGAGTTGTTATAGTTTCTTAAAATAGTTTACATTCTTAATCTTTAAAAACTAAGAGGTTTATTCAAAAAAGTTTTTTCATCCATATTATATTGCTTTAAAAGTTTGTTACAATGACACCAGAGATATATAGGTAGTGAGAACGCCAGCAATGACAAAAAAAATAGTATAACATTCACCTAAATTAGAAAGAAAAAAAAAAAAAAAAAGCAAGTTAAAGTTTAGAAAAGAAGGTAACAAAAAAGTAACAAAAATTTTTTAAAAAAGAAATTAAAAAAAAAATTACCATAAACTGATTTCCAGAAAAAACAGTTTGTTCGAGTGATAGTAAAGGATGTTGTATCATCAAAATAAATCCTGCTGTCAACGTCATGAAGCCGTAAATCGAACAAAAATGTTTGGCGGGAAATCTATATTTAAATGGTTAGTAATAAGGTTATTTCTTGCTTGTTTTTTGATAAAGATTGTTGAATCACGCAAGCAACATAATATAAAAAATTGTTATAAAAAATGCTGGAAGAAAGTATAGCAAAATCATAAATAAATAGTTTTATCATGTTAATATATCATGAATAAATAGTTTTATCATGTTTTTCGGAATAAAAAAAAAAAAATATTGAAGTACTCAAATTACAAACTATTTTTTTAATAGCGTACCGTTATGGGTCTAAAAATAAATTTTTTTTTAGAAACGTAAAGCATTTTGGGATTGATATTTGGACAAACATTGCACAGAAACAAAAGAATTTCTTTAAAATGCTCGTGGTTGTGGGATTGATATTCGGACAAACAAACAATTTGACGTCACCATAACGTACGTTATTTTAGTTGATTGTAGTAAAAACATTAAAGTCTGACACGCAAGATACCCCAAGTTTTAGAAACTTTAGACTAAAGTCGAAAGCGTGTTTCTTTTATAAAAAAAAATTCTTTTTTTTTACAAAAAAAAAAATAGTATTCTTGAAATCTTTATTTAATTTAAAAAGTTTTAATTTTATTTTTTGAGTATATACTTCTTACGCTAATGAAACAAACATTGATCCATAACAAAACTGCAAATTGAGTCCAAACAAATACAATACGAAAAGAGGAATCTAAAAATAAAATACATATATATATATATATATATATATATATATATATATATATATATATATATATATATATTATATATATATATATATACATACATAAAATGTAGTTAAGTTAGTGTATTCTACAAATAGAGGGCTCAGTGTTTTTAAAGAACAGAGCAATAATAAATTATTATTATATATATATATATATATATATATATATATATATATATATATATATATATATATATATATATATATATATATATATATATATATATATATGTATATATATATATACATATACATATACATATACATATACATATATATACATATATATATATATATATATATATATATATATATATATATACATATATATATATATATATATATATATATATATATATATATATATATATATATATATATATATATATATAATCTTTTAAATAAATAAAAAAATACATTACCAATAAAAATGAGTTAAGAAACATCATGCTAAATTTAAAAGCTGCCTTAAAAAATTAATGTTGATTAATTGATTAAATAAGTAATACAATACAATTTACAAAAATTCACTACTATTAGCTATAGAGATGAACATCCTTATAGTAGGATAGCTTGAAAAAAAAATTTATTTGTCTATATAAGTAGAGATATTTAACAGTATAAATGTTAAGAATGTATGTGAATTTAAAACTTGATATTTTGCTAAATATCATATTGTAATATATATTATAAATATGTTTATTTATATAGAACTATAAAAAAAGCTATCAAATCTACTTAAAAATTATTAATTTATTACAAATATTAGTTGTTTTTTTCCAATATTCGCCTTTTTTCTGGTAACATGGTGATCCTAAGAAATCTAATTACTAGAGGAATTTAAAAAAACCTTTATATCTTAATGTTTAAGACAACACTTAAAACATATAAAAAATGTAAACTTACAGTTAGTTTGAGGTTTTGTATAAGCTGAAGACCATCCAATATTAAAACTACTGAAGTCAATATCACTGAAGGAGCTATGCAAGATCGAACTCGTTGAACATATTTCCAATGCAATGATTTGCCTTCTGTAAGCGTTAAAGTAGACTCTGATTTACGAAGAATCAAAATTGATATTGGTGCAAATAACACGCCCATAAACTGGGTGTAACCGAAATATTTAAGGTACTTCAACACTGCAAAAATAAATAATAATATGTTAACAATAATAATAATGACTATAATAGTAATAACAATAATGATAATAATAATATAAATAATAATAATATTCTTTCTTTAATAATTCATTTCCTATTTTCAGTTTCCAATTAGAAAAAATTGTAATGAAACTTAAATTCATACATTTGTCATCTGACAACGTGATCGGGACAAAATGCTTTACAATAAAACTTTTATCCCCAATTTTATAAAATTTCAGAAACTTATAAATTCTCTTCTTAAAGTATTACAAAATAAACACGCATTGGAAAACACTTTCTAAAAAGATTCCACCCGAGAAATACCACCCATTAGCAATAAGTACTACACATGCATAATATACACACACACACACACACACACACACACACATGTATATATATATATATATATATATATATATATATATATATATATATATATATATATATATATATATATATATATATATATATATATATATATGTATATATATATATATATATATATATATATATATATATATATATATATATATATATATATATATATATATATATATATATATATATATATATATATATATATATAAATTGCGTTTATTAAAATGTTAATACAAATCAAATAGTTTTTTAAAAGGGGCGATTGATTAAATGCGAATTTCATAACAGCAATTTTGCATAAGTTCAAACATTAGTGTAAAGCAGTTGCAAAAACATAAATGCAAAGCTTATTTATGAACTGATATATGTGCGCTATTTATGCAAATGTTTGCAAATTCTTTTGGCGCACTTATGCCAATTTGCACTTGTTCCAATTCGCACTTATATCAACTTTTGCAACTGCTTTGCACTTATGCTAGTTCGTACTTATAAAATTCGCACTTTTCGCTTCTTTCAGCCTCCCAATTAAAAATACAATATACTGTTGCATATACAGCTACATATACAGTTTCGTTTTCACGCATTTTTTAATTATTTTATTTCTTGTAAAAAAGTCATTTTTCCCTATTCTCTTTTTTTTCCGTTTTCCTCAATGTCTATATATGTATAAATTTATAAAATTAATAATAGCAAACCATTTTCGTGATTTTCTGTAAGATTTATTAAATATTTATCCAAGTTACCGACAAAGTATAAAAGCTTTAATAACAGTAAACTAAACGACATCACTGATAAAAAGTTTATCCATGAAAACAAGCAATCTTTTAGTGACCGATTATCTAAATTAAAAATAATTGAGAATTAAATCTAAGAATTGAAATTATATACCGTATTATGTAGATAATACCGTATTATGTAGATAATATCAATAGCTAAAACTAGAGGCAAAGTTTCGTTCTTACTTTGTCTGAAAATGTTCTTACCAAAATTATTTTCTTTGTGAAGTAGTGTATTTTTTTCATGATACATTGTACTGCATGTAGAAATAAGTTTGCTATCCTCGCAATAACTATAAAAGAGTTTGTAGAAATATATGTTTTTATGTGTGTGTATTCAAGTTACTTGCTTCAAAGTAAAAATGATTTGTATATTTAAAATGTTTAAGCTCATACACTGACCGTTTAGTACTGATTGCTGTTTTTTCAGGCTGAAAATCAACTTGATCTTGTTTTATAAGCATTACTAGATACCCGTTATTTGGATAAAAAAGTATTGTAACTAATATAACAAAAACAATTGTAGACACTGTATAACCGATGCTGATTGTTTGAACAGTTACACCCAACTCAAAAACAGTCTAAATTTTAAAAATGTACACATAGTGTTAAAACTTCTAGAATAATCTCACTCCAAAATGCGTTTCAATTATAGCATACCGTATCACAGGCCTTACCAACACACAATTGGAATGAAAAATGTTTGCAAATTAAATTTTTATTTGAAGCAACTTTGCAAAATAAACACAAATGTTTTCTTTTTTTAAAAGGAAATATCATTAATAGAAAAATGCAAATTTAGTTTTTTTTTTTTTTATTTATTTACACTTTTGCCAATGAAAAAAAAATTTACAGTCGTAACTTATGAAAAATAATAACATGACCGGGGCTAGAAGAAGACAAATTTAGTCTAATCACGAAACCCCAAAAAATGCGTCATTACTAGATAAAATATGGTTTAACAATAAAATTATACAAAACCTCAAACTAAAGTTTTATGTATATTTCTCTGAATTAATAATATAAAAGAACACATTTTATTGTTAGAGCAATTTATAGTTGAACTTATTTATTTAGATTTAAAATACTTTTTATCATAATTTACAGAATTTACTAAATAATCATTTTTAAAAAATAGTATAACTAAGATAAAAAATCACCTCTTATTATATTAACTTAGTTTAGAAATAAAAGATTAGGTAAATAGTTTATTTTTTTAATTTGCTATTACTCATACGGAGGAATTGAGTAACTGTTAAAAAAAAAAAAAACTCTAAACGGATGCTTTCAAAACGGAAGAGGATAAATGGTATTCTAATCTTGCCGTTAAGACTCCGTTTATTACTGCTCCGTTTTTCAGTTAAATTTTCAGTTAGCCAGTTCCGTTAACTAGTTTTTTTGCTGTTTTTTTCATCGCATCTAAACGTTGCGATGCCAACAGACATTGAGGCCAACAGACTGATAGTGTAATAAAAGTCGGTAGTTTTTGATTAATGAATAAAGCGCACTAAAATATAAAAAACTCCAAAAGTTTGTATTTACTTTAGACTTTTTTTTTTAATTTTATGTTTATGCCTCCATACTTGTATGAGGCATAAACATAAAATTGAGTAACACATTTTTTCATAACTCTATTTTCTTCAATATTTGCAAACGGATTAAAATATTAAAACTGAGTAATTTTAATGTAATGCATTTCAAGCTATTAAAATATATTTTATAGCACCAAAGCGAAGGTTTTGTTCTCTATTACATAGCCTTTATTTATAAAAATCAAAGGCTATCTAAAGTATTCATACAGGCAATCAAATTAATTCCAGGTAGTTAGTTTAGTCTACATAAATTGAGTATTTTAGTCAATTAATCAAACAATTTTTTTAATTATAGGTATTCACATTTTAGTCTTGGACGGAAACTTTGATTTCAAAACACTAGTTTGTTTCCACTTGATATTAGTAAAGTTGATTTAAAAAAAAATGCTGGCAAGACTTATGAGAAAGTTTGATTGCTATGTATCATTTCAAATGTATCTTACCATATCAAAATTATGGTAAAGTCCACAAAAAGTTTACATCGTTTCTGTTTAACAAATTTTTGAAAAAGTAACCATATACCGCAAAATGATGCTATTAAAGTTTGAGATAAGTTTAGACGTGTTAAACCGTGTCACTCTAGTTCAAAATGTTCTTACAAAGTGCGGATATTAGCAACTGAAAATTTAGCTGCTCTCAGAGATTCATTTACTGTTGAAACTAATATGTTATGAAACATCTGGCAATATTTTAAAGTATTTAAATTACGGAGGTTTATCTAATCCAAATGACAAAATTGCCCACTGAAAACTTTATCACTTAGGTCATTTAAATCTCCTTAATCTATATACTTTAAAAATATTACCAAATATATATCTATAAATACTGTCGATATATACGTATATAGTAAAAACTGCCGGTCATTAATATATACGTATATAGTAAAAACTGCCGGTCATTATTATGTAACCTCCTAATGACGATATCCGAATACTATTCACGAGGGAAGGAATAACGTCTGGGTTAACAATAAAAAAATGTTTTTCTCTATTTACTTTGTTCAAACAAAAATCTCGATGTTTAAATATAGGCTCGATGTCCAATGTTTGTTTGAGTATATATATTCAATCCTATATAGGGTTGTTTTTATTGTTTTTATTTTACTAATGATTTTATTTTTGAATATATGCAGGTCTTAGCCATTTTTTCTCAAAAATTTCTTTCATGAAACCTAATTTTGTGGTAAAAGTTGAAATTAAACTTAAAATTATATTAAATAAGAGTAAGTTTTACTCTTTTAGTTGTATTTGATATTTGATGAAATTATTCTATAAAATTTAATTGATGGTACAAATTATTCTATAAAATTTAATTGATGGTACAAATTATTCTATAAAATTTAATTGATGGTACAAATTATTCTATAAAATTTAATTGATGGTACAAATTATTCTATAAAATTTAATTGATGGTACAAATTATTCTATAAAATTTAATTGATGGTACAAATTATTCTATAATATTTAATTGATGGTACAAATTATTCTATAAAATTTAATTGATGGTACAAATTATTCTATAAAATTTAATTGATGGTACAAATTATTCTATAATATTTAATTGATGGTACAAATTATTCTATAAAATTTAATTGATGGTACAAATTATTCTATAAAATATAATTGATGATACAAATTATTCTATAAAATTTAAGGTACACACTATTAAATATTAAAAGTAAATACTTCAGTGAAAATGAGTAAACTGAGGTAAGAGTAAGTTTAGCTTCAAGTTCAATTTTTTTTGTTTTTGATTTTGATTTTTTTATAGAGAATATTTTACATTATATAAATATATAAAAAGTAAACTAGTTAAATTTTAATAACAATCGATTAAGATGTTAAGAAACTAATCTGATTAGAAATTAAGTTTACAAAAAAACTATTTTTTATCAAATATACAAAAAAAACTATTAATTAAATAAATTTGAGTTGTTTATTGAAAAAATGCCGCAGCATTTTTTCATGCAAAAAAAAACTATTCATCAGTTTTGTTTTGTTTGGTAAACACGATCGACAAACACAAGACTTGCAAATAGAAGCTTCTTATTGGTACCACATGTTGTTTTGAGTCGGGAATGCTCCTTCCCAAACTCTGCGACATTTTTTGCACCTCAGATGTTTTTGTCTTGTTTTAGTTTTTTTGAATGTTGCACTTGCTGAGTTTTATCCGAAGCGTCACTAAAGTCAATCTTGCGTTTCTTCGATTGCTTTTTTTTTTGAATAAATAAGAAGATATGATTTTATATAAAACACATTTTATTGTTAGAGCAATTTAGAGTTTAACTTATTTAATTAGATTTAAAATACTTTTTATCATAATTTACAGAATTCACTAAATAAGCAGAAGAAATTATTTTTGAAGTATATTGAAATAGCCTGTTATTTGGTTCACATTACAAGAAGATGCTCAGAAAGAAGAAATGTTGCCTGCTACTCTGACACCTAATTTGTGACTCCATTTTTCGTGAAACTTTGATACTATTCTCGTTATAGCATACCGTTTCGTAGAAGCAGATGATTTGGATTTGTAGATACCAAATAACTATTGCGATGACATCTGCAAATATTTTGCCGAACCCCGAATTGGCTAAAGTGATAATTATTGGAACAAGTATAAATTTAAACGCTGTACTTAACAGGGTAGTTGTACTTCTATTGTGTGATTTGACTTTGTTGTGCACACGTTTGTGAAGATTTGCTTTTGGTATGTTGTATGCCTCTAAAGCTTTACTGAGTGATATTTTGCCTTTTTTGATTTGTTCTACTGCAAGTTGCAATTGCTTTTCAGTGTAAATTGTTTACGTTTTACGAATGTAAGTACGAGTCATTTTTGTTTTAAAGGTTTTAGATAGATATCAAAGGCTATCATATTTATTTACGTTTTAATTAATTAATAGTTATTAACTTTTTAAAACAATTTGTTCATCTTTACATAGAGCACACAATTTTCTACAATACGGTGTCTCGCATTTTTAAAGATTATTTGTTTTAGCTTTCAATAAATGCAAAAAAAAAAACGAAACTGCTTAACCGTTAGCTTTCTTTTTGTTTACTCTTACCCCAGTTTACTCTCTCGATATATATAAAGCATTTTTATTAAGTTTATAAAAATACAATATTCCAGCAATAACAATTTTTTATTCTTGTTATATAATAATCCATGGTTTAAACATATAAAATAAACAATAACTAATTCTTACTAAAAAAATGAAAAATATAGCCGAGGAACTATCCACTGCACCGCTGATCATACATATTCCAACTGATTTCCATTTCCAACACATAACGTTAACAATCTAAAAAGCATATTGCAACAAAGAAAGCAAATAACTTTGTGCATTGGGAGTCGATCAATCAACAGTATCTATATCAATAACTGGGAATGATTGAAAAGCAATGAAATTGGGTGCCGTATAAGTTAAAACTGAGGGATATTGAAAGACAATTTTTCAATACCTCCCAACGCACAATCAACATGTTGCAAAAAATTACCTGGAGAACTTCAAATGGGAAGTCTCGAATCAATTACCATTGATTAATTAATTATAAATATACATTTCCATCGACCGGAAAAAAAGGTAATTTGTTCCTTTGAACTAATACAGTCTTTTTTTCAGCCAGGCATGTTTTGTTAAAACATGACCTGGTTATACAGCAATTTTCTTCCTATGACGGTACCAAAAAATTGGTCGATGACTGGATTGTCTCAAAAAACTAAGAATTTTGCAAGCGTGGAATCTTCATGATACGTGTAAGATAAAAGAAGGTTATAGCTGTCGATGCAGTACCGGATCAAAGGGGAGGCTATATCCCAGGGCCCCGCAAATTTAGGGGTCCCCAAAAATTTTAGAGGATCTTTTTTTTTAGTCATTTTTAGACTCTGGCCCATAAAAAGACTTCCAAAAACAAAAATAGCCCCGGGCCCCAAGAAGTCTTAATCCGTCACTGTGCTGATGGACTGTATTTTGAATGATTTGAGTCTAATAGTCTTCTCAAAGTAAGTTGTTAATTTTTTAAGAAAACGCTTATTTTCAATGCATACTCCTTATATATATATATATATATATATATATATATATATATATATATATATATATATATATATATATATATATATATATATATATATATATATATATATATATATATATATATATATATATATATATATATATATATATATATATATATATATATATATATATCGCGAGGTTAGAATTATTTTGTTCTATCTCCACAAATCAAAAAAATTGAGTTAGATTATTTTTTTGGCTTTTCATAGATAAAATATTTATTTTTTACAAAAAAATCATTAAAAAAAAAAAAATTAACATACTATACCTGACATTGTTTTTTGTTCTATCTCCTTAATCCTGTTTATAAATTATAATGTGTTATCTCATATAAATAATGTGTTACCTCCATTTATCTCATATAAATAATGTGTTATCTCCATTTTATCCAATCAAAAGTTATTTACGTCAAAATGGCAGCTGCGGAAGTTTTTATTACAGAAAAACAACAACAAAACTTTGAAGGTAAAATATGTTATTGTTCACATTATATATGTATATATATGTATATATATATATATATATATATATATATATATATATATATATATATATATATATATATATTTTATATATATATATATATATATATATATATATATATATATATATATATATATATATATATATATATATATATATATATATATATATATATATATATATATATATATATATATATGTATACTTTTTTTGTTTCAGAAACTGATCTGACTATCATAATGATACACCTGAAATAACAACAGCTCAACAGGGGGAAAAACTAGGAAACGAAAGTCAGCACCTAAAACTTGGGCACAGAATGTGAGAAAGCAGCTAAGACAATCTGGTCAGCCGTATAAAAATAGAAAAAGAGAAAATGTTCCATGCAAGTCTGTGACCAAAAAGAAAGACTGTCTAAATTCTTGTAAATTCAGATGCGCACAAAATTTTAATGATAAAGAAAAAACACGTATATTTGCTGATTTTTGGTCTATGGACGACATGCAAAAGAGAGATTTCTCCAGTCGAACCACTGAACGACTTCAGAAGAAACGTCATCGAACCATCAATGAAAATTCGCAAAAAGCGTATTCATTTTATTATAGCTTTTTTGTTGGTGATTTGCAAACTCGAGTTTGTAAAGAATTTTACCTCACAACTTTAAATATAAGTAGTAGAAGAGTTTATTATCATCATGAAAAAAAAAATGATACTACTGGAAGCCCAGCCCTTTCAAAATGGAGGAAACACACAAAAAAGGTTATAGATCAATCATCAAAACAAAGCGTTACAGATCATATCAATGCATTTCCACATGTTCCATCACACTACTGTCGTCAAAGAACAGAAAAAGAATATTTTGAAGCTTTTTTAAATTCTAATAAGATGTATGAACTTTACTTAACCTATTGTGAAGAAAAGAATATTGCCCCTGTTAAGAAGCATTTGTATAGATTCATATTTGATCATCACTTTAATATTGAATTTCAGAAGCCAAAAACTGATTTATGTGATACATGCTATGAATACCGCAATCTAGTAAATCCAACTGAGGAACAAACCCAAAAGTTTACCAAACACATTATTTCTAAGAATGAAACTAAAGCAGAACGAGATAAAGACCGCAAAATTATAGATAAAAATGTGGCTGTAGTATGTATTGACCTTGAAAATGTAATAAGTTTACCAAAATCAAATGTGGGAGCATTTTTTTACAAACGAAAACTTTCAGCTTATAATTTAACTGGGCATTGTTCTATAAATAAAAAAGGTTATTGTATGCTTTGGCATGAAGGTGTTTCGGGTCGTGCAGGCAATGACCTTGCAAGTAGTGTAACATGCTTGCTAGAAAAGATAATTGCAGACCACTCTGATGAAAATAAACTCATTTTCGATTCCTGTGTGCCTCAAAACAGAAATAGTCAAATGTCCATTGCCTTGCGTCAGTTTTTGATATGTTACCCAAAAATTAGAGTAATTGAGCAAAAGTTTTGTGAACCAGGACATTCTAGTATACAAGAGGTTGACAATATCCACAGTCAAATTGACAGAGCACTTGCTCTTCTTGAAATATTTAGTCCTTTAGGTTTAACCAGAGCAATTTCTGCTGTTTAAAGAAGAAATTCTTTTTTTGTCTACCAAATGAAAAGATTGGATTTCAAACATTTTTCAGCTATTGCAACTTATTTCAATTTTAAGCTTGTTCCCTATAGCCAGATAAAGCATCTGGTTTACAGAGCAGAGTTTTCAGATCATGTATATTACAGAAAGTCGTTTTCAGATGTTTGTTCAGAAGCACGAATTAGGCGTCTTCCTAACAATCCGCGCTCTTTATCATCTGTGATAACAAGACCTCTGGCAGTTGTACCAATGGCTTCTGCCTTGAATCAGTGTGCTCAAATTTCAAGTGATAAAGCCAAGGACCTTAAAAGTATGTTCAAGTATATGTCTGCTGTAGACGTTGCATTTTATAAAAGTATTTTAAAATAATTTATTTTATTGTCTAAATATTTGTATTATATATTATGTTGTTAAATGGACTTCTTTCTGAAATGTTATATTTTTAATGGATTAACCAGATATGCTTGATTTGCCTAATTTGAGATATCATTTTACTGTGCAATGTACTTTAGATGTTATTTTATTGGAATTTATAACTTAAGTTTTATTTCATTGTAAAGATCTTAAGATAATATATTATTTATCTTTTCTGTTTTGACAAAATAACGTATTCATTTAGTTTGTTCACTTGTGTAAAATAATTTTTTTTTTCAAATAAAGCAAATATGTACCTTAGAGTACTTTTATTGCCAAAATATAAATTCATCTTGCAACAATATATTAATTTGTAATATGTTTTTTTACACAAAATGGAGATAGAACAAAATAATACTGTATTTTACAAAAAAAGTGTGTATTACATTGTTCTATCTCCAAATCAAGGTGTAGTAAATAAGACACCTGCAATTTAAATATTTTAAAACAAATTCTTTTAAACTGTGGTAGCCTATATGGGAAATTGATAAAAATTGGTTTTGTTTGCGTTTTTTATGTTATTTGGTCTGCAGGTTCATTTAAACTTTGAATTTAATTTTCTCAATTCGGAAAAACATGGAGATAGAACAAAATAATTCTAACCTCGCGATATATATATATATATATATATATATATATATATATATATATATATATATATATATACATACATATATATATATATATATGTATATATATATATATATATATATATATATATATATATATATATATATATATATATATACATATATATATATATATATATATATATATATATATATATATATATATATGTATATATATATATATATACATACATATATATATACATATATATATATATATATATATATATATATATATATATATATATATATATATATATACATACATATATATATATACATATATATATATATATATATATATATATATATATATATATATATATATATATATATATATATATATATATATATATATATATATATAATAGTAATAATACGTAAAATATATTTCCTAATAGGAAATCGGCAAGCGACTAGCTAACGTTATTTATAATATATATAAAATTACTTCATTCTACCCTCAGATTTGGGGATAATGAAATATACAAATTGATGTGTAATTAAATATACATTAAACTAAAAAAAACATTAATTGTTGATTATAAAAGAAAGATTCATATGACCAAGAATAAAATGGTGTAGTTAGTAATGCTGATTGTTGTGGTACTGGCATAGATTCTGGTAATTGAGATGATGGTATTTCAAACATATATACACCGAATAGCAAATTGCGTAAGCGCGACTTGCTCTTTGGTGGATGGTCTTTCTTTTCTCTTTGTGTCCAAGTTTTTTCAAGGTATGTTTTAAATAATAAATATATTTTATCATAATCGATATAAAATTTATATAAAGAAGTGATTCATTGGTCAGCTTATATATAACTAAATCATAAAAGCTCTATTTACAAAATTTACAAAATTCGTGACGTTAAAATTATTTTGTTTTATCTCCACTTTTTGAAAAAATTTGAGTTATTTACAGTTAAACAATAAACACTTTAGATTATTTTCAGTGTTGAAAATAGACGTTCTCCAGAACAGTTTGTTGTAACTGTGCTCAAAAAGTTCTAAAAGTCTATAACAATATTGAAGAACGTTTATTCCAGATTTTTATATCTAATTAGTTTAAGTAAATCCAGAGAAGAAAACTTTTGTTTGACTAATTCTTCATTAATCTTAGTCGGTAAAAAGCTCAGAAATAGGGAGACATTTTGAAATAGTGGCATTCCAAAATAGAGTCATTCCGAAATAGAGTCATTCGGAAATAGAGACATTTCGAATTAGAGTCTTTTGTCCAATAAGAGAGTATTAAAATCAGTTGGATAACGGGCAAAAGTTTTTGTGTAGTGGATATGATTTCATAGATATTAATGTTTGTGAGATTCAAGTTAGGGTTTTTTCCATTAATCTAGTTCATTCAGGTTTTTACCATCTCGTTAATTTCAGTAATCATTTTAAACCACCAAGAATCTTTCGAATTTTCATTTTATCGTAAAACCTTTCGCTTGTTCTTAAAATCTTTTTTCAGAAGCATATTCATATGTGTTGACAAAAAAAATGACTTCCGTTTAAGCTCTAGGATCTTGTTTAGTTTTTCAACCATACCTAAAACAATCTTGACGGATTTTCTTATTTACCTTTATTCTACTCCAGTGTTGCTCTGAATGATGATAAGAACAGTTTTTTCAAGTTAACTCATTTTAGTCAAAAGGTTGAAGAACCCTGCTTTTATTTTTATTTTTTGACTAGGGTTATCGTTAAGCTTAAGAAGAGTGGCCTAAATTAGTAACAACATGTCTCTAAGCATGGAAATTTATAATTATGCATGGAAATTGAGGATTAGAATCAACTACTTTTCCTCATAGTAAAACGTAGCACTGAATAAATTATAGTTAGTTAATATATGACACATCGGAGTAGAATCAACGATGTGTGAAAAATATTCCGCAAATTTGGTTTTGGAAACTAAGAAATTATGTTAAAAGTAAATAAAAAGTATATACAACAATGTTTTAAAGATGTTCATACTAAATTCCACAATGTTGGTGGTAATCAGTAAATAAATTTTTCACATATGTTTCAGAGGTACGAGATGCTTCCTTTTCCTTTTTTACTGTGAGTGATCAAATGTTGGACAAAAAATAATTAAATTTTGCTGTTAGCTGAATCCATAAAAGTTTTCATAGTGTTATAAGCCTAGCTTTCTGTTCTATTCGCGGCATAATTTTCTTAGAAAAATAATAATTAAAATACTAAATTAATTTTAGTAGTTTTATTACGTAATAGTTTTTCAAATTAAGAACTTATAAATAATAATCTAAATTAATAACTTTGACTATTTTTTGTTGATTTGGGTCTTATCCTTTTTTTGGTTTGGTATTGCTTGATAAAGTGTAAATCGATACTTTCCTTAACTACTTGATCTTGAGATAAGAATGCGGCAATTAATTTTTATTTGATTGGCACTTTATTTTTTATTATGTTGAACTTTTCTTTCTTTTTCTTTCTTTAACTATCTTCCTTTTTAATGTTTTGTTGTTTACTTCTACAATTTTTTACTTCTGCAGTATCGGACAAAACAAGTGCAACCAAATAATGCTAATTTATTTTCTTTATATAAAAGTGCTGCATTTTTTCAATTTAGAGAAATAACTATGTAACTGTTTAGAAACAACGTTCTTCAAGTTTTATTCATCACAAAGTTCAATAATTGTACACAGAAATTAATAAATTAATCACAAGTATTTAAAAAAATTTATTTCCATCTGGACAAAACAAAAGCAACTCGACAAAATGTTGACCAAGCTGTATTTTGCTATCAATATTTCGTGGCGAATTCTTTGTTGTCAATCGTAGCCTTGCATCTTCGCTCCCAATGATATTGAGCTTCGATTCATCATTGAACAGGACAGTTCGCCATTTCTGCACATTCCAGTCAATATGGGATGAAGCAAACAGGAGTCTTTTCTTCTGGTTTTTTATTGAAATCAGCGGTTTCTTTGCAGGGCGTTGAGAAAACAATCCAGCTTCAACACCACGTTGTCTGATTGTTCGGACCGATACAGGCAGCTCTAATTGCTTTTGTATCTCGACTGATGATATTCAGGTATCCTTCTTTATGGATCTGACGATCATAGAATTCTCTTGGTCTTCCACCTTTGTTATCTGCTGCCAACTTTCCCGTAGAACGATATTTGGAACATAGTCTTGATACGGTGATATTTATCACAAATACTTTTTATGACATTCCACTTACGTAATCGCTAATAATTTTTTTTCTTAGTTCCAATCCAAGACTCTCAACAGCCTTTTTTTGCACTTGAAGTCATAAAAATAATAAAAATAAATAATCACGCTTCTCAAGGCTTACCGTGTTATACTTGAATACTTTGAGGGTAACAGGGGCCAGAAGACCTAAAATTTCATACTTTATATTGTAGCTTTGCAGCTTACTAAAACATAATTACAAATCTAAAGATTGTCGATATTATCGATAAACCTAATGGTTGTTGATATTTTCAATATTAACACAAATCTATAGGTTGTCGATATTGTTGATATTAACACAGATCTAAAGGTTGTTGATATTGTTGATATTATCAGAAATCAATAGGTTATCGATATTGCTAATATTTACGCAAACCTATAGGTTTTCGATTTTGTTAATATTAACACAAATCTATAAGTTGTCGATATTGGCACACAACAGCTTATTAGCGAGCGAATATTCGTGTTTTTTTTTCTTGTAGCTAACTATAACATTGCGATAAGCCTGCTTCTATTGGAAAGCTGCATATCGCAGCTTTGCAGCTATCATTGTTGTTTTAGAACTACTAAAATAATTAAAAGAAAAGATAATTACTAACCACAAATAAATAACTATATAATAATAAATTATCATATTAATTATTAATAAATAATTAAGTAATTCAACATTGTGAGGAGAATTATTGCTAGCTAATCTTTTTAATCCGGCTTTGCGAACTAGGAAAACTAGTAATTCTCGTAGTCAAATCGCTGACTTTATCGTTACAAATATCGCTAGCTAGTTGCTAAACAATTTTTTAGGAGGAGGATAGACATAAAATCTAAATTAAAACAATATCTAAATTTTTAATACCTTATACACATTTAACATTAAAGTTGAAGAAGCCACAGCTAGAAAAACAAACGCCAAATATAGTAAGATTTCTATTCCTAAATAAAAAATAATAAAAAAGTTTACTTAAAAAACAAAATTTAAAAGGAATTCTTTTTTCTTTGAAAACATGTTAAAAATTACCTATAAGCAAAAATAAATTATTAATGTTTCTTAAAATAATACTTTCAGAAATTAATTTAATTCATTAGCCACAGGTCAGAAATTGACATTTTAGGTTTTATTTTGGAACACCCCAAATATTTTAAAGGTTTTTAAAAGAGGCAAATCAGTGAAATTATCATGTTCAAGTGAAGAAACTTCTAAAAACGCTACAAACCTCAAATATTTACATACTAATCGTACTAATTGCGGTAGTGGTGAAGTGGTAGAGCGCTCGCTTCATGTACGATTGGTTCCGAGTTCGATTCCCACCACGTCCCTAGTAGTACCGCGCTCAACTTGTTTCTCCGCGCAGCGGCCTCGTTCGTCAAGGTTCGTGTTTCGGAGTAATAGAGTTGAGAGAGGGTTGTTACCACAAATAAGTAGCCTCCTCGTCTGTAGTGGCCTTCTCGGCCTTGAGGAGATGAATTAAAATTAAAAAAAAAAAAATCAAACAATTATGTTCTGCAAAAAAAAAATGATAATAATTTTGGGAACATAGAAAAAACAACGCTTTCGGTGCACCGACCCCAAATAGAGCAAATAAAAAATTTAAAAAAAACATTTTTAACAATCTTATAGTAAAAGAAACTTTATTCAAAGAATTCAAATTGTAAAAAAAATATATATATTACAGTTCAAAAGTTATGACCAAAAAACGTTTTATTCCCACTCCCCCTTCCAAAAAAAAGTTTTGAATTTACATGACTATAACTTCTAAAGTACATAAAATTATTTGAATAGACTTGAAATTTTATAATGAATTTCGATTCGGTTTAAGAAAGTACAAAAATATTTTTTCAATACACATGCCCCCTCTCAATCAGGGCAGGTGGCCTCAAATTTCGGGGTTTTCTTGTTCTCAGATTTTATTTACAGTTATTATTGCTTGTTACTTTACTAAAAACACTAAGTGTATTCCAGTTACAGAAAATTTGGAAAAACTCGTTGTAAAGCATTGTCATAGTATTAAGGTTATGGAGTATCGAGCTAGATAACCTAGCTGGATACTCCAGCTAGATAGTCTAGCTGGATACTCTAGCCTTACGTATAAAAGAAATCTGTGCCTGGTTAAATCTCGAAAACCTCTTTCAAAATCAGTTAAACTGAAATAGAACAAATAATCTTTAAGCAATTTCCTACTGAAGTAGGAGCTGCAAAAACTGTAAATTTTGCAAATTGGTAAAAGTAAAATCTTAGGTTCTACATTATGCTTACTATTTTTAATTAGTTTGAATTAAATCCGTTATATAGTTTTTTAAATAAAAATATATACAAATAAAAAAAAAATCCATTCAGGAAAACTTGGTGTTTGCAAGAGTTTAAATGCTGCTTGCTTTAAAGTTTGTCGAAAATGATTTCAAGTTATTGATAAAGATCATAAATGCTACCCTGGAAAGGAATCTGGCAACTTATCTTCTAAATATAGATATTAAAGTAACAAAATAAAAAACTTATTGCATCGAAGTTTGGTACAGTTATAAACCGTAAAAATAAAACTCCTTCAACTTCATTTAAAAAAAAAGTTAACTGTGATGCTAAAAAATGTGATCTTGTTATAAATCCTAAATCCCAAGGCTGGTTCTTGCCCTGATAGGTTGTGTATTAACTAAGACAGCTACAAAATGATTGAAGTAAAGTGCTCTTTTTTAAAAAGAAGTTTTTGTGTACAAAAAGCTTGTACCAATAATACTTTTGTATGGAAATAGTAATAGACAGTAAAAACTAAAAATCAAATAGGTAATTTTACGAATGTCAAGGTATCAAAACTTTTACAGAGAAGAGCAAAATTGTCTTTGTTCTATACAAAAATGGAAACTATTTTGTGCAATCAATTAAATTTAAAATGGAAACTATTTTGTGCAATCAATTAAATTTAAAATGGAAACTATTTTGTGCAATCAATTAAATTTAAAATGGAAACTATTTTGTGCAATTAATTAAATTTAAAATGGAAACTATTTTGTGCAAATTAAATTTAAAAATGAAAACTACTTCAATAAGATTTAACGTTGTTTAAATACATTTTATTTTCAGTTTATAGTTAAAAAAATATTTGAAAGAATGTAAAAGAATGTAAAAATATTTTTTTTGTTCTTCAATATTTTCTTTATTGGGAATTGCATAAAATAATAAATTTTTATGTTTTACTTTTCTAAAGGATTGAGGTACACAACATATTAAATCCCGACTTCTTTTTTTTGTTTTGTTTTTTAGTTGAATAACATTGTTTGGTGCACTTGTTGTTATTTTTTCTTCGAAGTCTTATAAAGTGCAAAGTTTACTCCAATAATATAGTTTTATAAATTTGAACTAAAAAATTTAAATGGTGTGAAATAAAATACACCAAAGTCTATTGGGACAATCTCAGTTATTTCAATATTTGACATTTTACTCGACTTATTTTTGTTGTTTACTTCCGCGTACATACAAATACCATAATGCATTTTATTTATACGGAAAGGTCAATTTATTCTTTAAATGAACTATTTTTTTCAAGTCTATAAATATTTTTTGTGAGTCTATAAATATTTTTTAAAACTAAAAAACATTTATAGACTCACGGTGGAAAATACAGTTGTTCCTGGTGTGACGGGGAAGCTGTTCCGAAATCTGGTAATCTTTTGAGACCTAGATAACTGTTTCCGTTAGTATGCTGATGCAGGCTTTCCTGAGAAACAAATGATGAACTTTAAGGTTATTAGTTTTTTTATATATTTCTAATCTAATGAAGAGCTTTTTATACAAATCCTATTAATGGGTTTCATTTATTTTCACTAAGAATGTAGTGAAGCCTTGTCTTAAAAAGGAAGATGATCCTGAGAAGCTTGTCATAACCGTAATACCTTTACCAGAACTTCATCTTCTCTTGAGTTTGGTAAATCACATTTGTAATTATATCATATTTCTATGGGCAGGTTTAAAAAAATGTGTTAATAGTCTTGGTGTTATACGGAAGGGCTATCACGGAAGTACATATGATGATAATGTTTCAAGAGAAATATTGAAAAATGTAGACAGTCTTGCATTAGTCATTTCAATAGAACTGTTCCCATTAATTAATACATTAATGAAGTTTGACAGAGTTGTGACTGGTACATTTAGTAAACCACTAGATCCACAGTATCAGATAGTTTTGAACATTCTCAAACATACTGTTCAGAAGTAAGTATGATATAAACTTAAAACGTTTAATAAACATTTTATTAAAATATTTTTGTTCTTGAATAAAAGCCTCAGTGTAACATGGAAAGTACATGCAATAAGTTTTCATCTAGGAGTCTTCATAGATATGTACAGCTGCTCTCTGTCAAAGTATAATGAACATTCAACAGAAACCTCGTTCCAAAAAATGAAGCCTGTTGTAAATATATTTAATGTGTTTCTGTCATTAGGTGAAATGGTGAAAGAAGTAGCCGAAGCGCAGTGGTTAAAGTTCTGGCTCAGAAGCCAGAGGTCCGAGGTTTGACGCCAGCCCTAGTCCAACAAGTGATATTGGTACGGAAGGAGGCGTGAACTTCCTATTAAATGCTCTCCCGCGGTGCTATGTGATAAGACCGTAAGGACTTCTGGGAGCACCTAAATAACTACAACAACAACAAAAAAAAAAGAAAAAAGAAGTAAACAAATTGTTGAAAGTTTTTCCAGCATGAACATGTAGTTATTGAGCTATATATAATTCTTTTTAAATTGAGAGGGAGACATGTGTATTAAAAAAATATTTGTGTACTTTCAAGTTTTTTAAAATAATCTTATGTACTTTAGAAGTTATAGTCATGTAAATTTAAAACTTTTTTTTGGAAGGGGGAGTGGGAATAAAACGTTTTTTGATCAAAACTTTTGAACTGTAATATATATTTTTTTATAATTTGAATTCTTTGAATAAAGTTTCATTTATTATAAGATTGTTAAAAATGTTTTTCAAATTTTTTTATTTACTCTATTTGGGGTCGGTGCACCGAAAGCGTTGTTTTCTCTATGTTCCAAAAATTATTATCATTTCTTTTTTTTTTTTTTTGCAGAACATTATTATTTGATATTAGTAGGTTTGTAGTAATTCTGAAAATTTCTTCAATTGAACATAATAATTTCACAGGTCTGCCCCTTTTAAATGTCTTTTCTAAAAATGTGCCACCCACAGGATTTTCATTTTTACAGTTTTGTATAACCTAAAGGTTTCTTAAATAGAATGACCTGTGTAGCATCAACAATAAAAAATCATTACTTTTAAAATTGTAAATTTTTGCTTTTATTGAAAATTATTTTTAATGTAGTATTTTTTTTTTTTTTGAGATTTTAATAGCTGTTCATTGGAATTCCATTTAAAACATGGTGTATTTGCTACATTGTTAGTACTTGCAAAATAACAAATCAAATTAACAAATTAAAATGCTAAAGCATTAAAAAAAAAATTTCTCTAATGTTCTTTAATTAATCGTGGAAATTTTAGACATCCAATTTTTGTCTTGTTTTGTTTCTATAACCACAAACAGAAAAATTTCTGGTCCGCAACAGAAAAATTTCTGGTCCGTTAAAGACAAATCTTTCCTATTCTAGAATTACAATTCAGTCCCAAGGATTATTAATAGTGCATCATTACTTTTTAAAAATTAAATAAAATTCATAAATTCGCACAAAATCAAGCGCAACAAAAACTATTTTTTACCACTTTTTAATCAACAGTGTTTATTTAAGTTTATCATGAGATATTTTTTTATTTTGGCACCTACAAAGGTGCTAAAGATTTTAAATGTGTTAAAGCTTAGCTTGTTAGTCCAGACGTCTTTGTTTGACGCTCAGACGCCATTTTGAGGTCCATTGTATTTTCTGTTTTTACCGCTTCTTTTTTGCGGACTGGTTTTATACTCTTTCATAAACGTATTTGCGCACTATAACG